CCGGAGAAATGCAAATTAAAATAACTCTGAGATTCCATCTTAAACCTATAAGAATGGCCAAGATCAAAAACATTGATGACAACTTACGCTGGAGAGGTTGTGGGGTAAAGGGAACACTCCTGCATTGCTGGGAGTGCAAGTTGCTACAGCCCCTTTGGATATCAGTATGGCAATTTCTCAGAAAATCAAGACACAGCAATACCACTTTTGGGTATATACCCAAAGGATGCTCAATTGTGTCACAAGGGCATGTGCTCAACTATGTTCATAGCAGCATTGTTTATTGTAGCCAGAACCTGGAAACAACCTAGATGCCCCTCGACCAAAGAATGGATAAGAAAAATGTGGTACATTTACACAATGGAGTACTACACAGCAGAAAAGAATGACGGCATCTTGAAATTTGCAGGCAAATGGATGGAGCTAGAAAACATCATATTGAGTGAGGTTATCATATGTACTCACTCATACATGGTTTTTAAACATAAAGCAAAGAAAACCAGGCCACAAATCACAATCCCAGAAAACCTAGACAACAATGAGGACACTAAGAGAGACATACACGGATTTAGCCTACATGGGAAGTAGAAAAAGACAAGATCTCCTTAGTAAATTGGGAGCATGTGGACCATGGGAGAGGGTTGAAGGGGAGGAGAGAAGCAGGGAGGGGAGCAGAGAAAAATGCAGAGCTCAATAAAATCAATAAAAAAATTGTGTGTATAAAGAGAATACATTTATCTTTTATTATATACTCTTCTCATTTAAGGGCTAGCATCATTTCATGAACTACAGGAAAGTAGCAACAACTTGCAATTAAAAAAGCAAAGTCACTTTTGGTGCCTACCTCAATTGTCATCAAAGAGGCAACTGATAGAAACAGATGCAGAGAGACTAACAGCCAAACATCAGCCAGAGTTCAGGGAATCCTAAGGAAAACAGGGGTGGGGATTGTAGGAGTTACAGGGGTCAAGGATACCAAAAGAAAAACCACAGAATCAATTAACCTGGGCTCACAGAGAAAAAAACGACAACCAGTGAGCCTGCATAGGACTCATCTAGACCTCTGCATATATGTTACAGCTATAGCTTGGTCTTCTTGTGGAGCTCCTAACAGCAGAAGCAGAGGCTTTCACTCTTTTGCTGACATTTGGGACTGCATTCCTCACACTGGGTTGCCTTGCCCAACCTTAATACATGGGAAGGTCCTTAGTCTTACTGCAATTTGATATGCTATATTTGGCTGATAACCATGGCCTTTTCCTGAACAGAAACAGAAGAGGGGTGGATTAGGGGGTGTAGGGGGGAGGCAGGGGGAGAGACTGGGAGGAGATGAGGGAGGAAAAACTATAGTTGGGATGTAAAATAAATCACACAGACACATACAAAAACATTCTCAACGACAGGGATAAGGATATTTGGAGAAATTAGGGAAGGAATATATGCACACTATGATAACAGAAGCACACACAGACATCCTAAGAAGAATATTAAATGGTATGTAAATGTGAGAAATCACTTGTGCTGAGTGTAAGTACTGTTTGACAAATATCATTTTTTACACCACTTCCTGCAGCATTATTATTCACTAAGGTTTAGAAATAGTACACTACTGCTATCAGAAACATTAAAATCCTTGAATGAGCTGCCAGTCAAAGTTAACTACCTCAATGATGCATTCTGAAACATCAAGAATAGGACTGTGCTATCTACATGAACATTCCTAAAAAATCAGCTAAAATTCCTGAAAAAAAAAGCAACTTACCTTTAAAAAAATGTTTTCATCAGTACAATATATAGAACACAAATTCAACCTCTTTAAGAGGCTACAGAGAACACAGGGCCATGTACATACACACAATGGTAAATCTTCACCTTAGAGAAACTTTAGCTACACAGCTTTTAAAAACGGCCTTAAAAATGAGCTGAGTGGGGCTGGGGCTCAGTAGAGTACTTCCAGTGCAAAAGCCCTGGCTAAAAGGGCAGCACAAGACTGCAGGGAAGGAGAGAGGGAAGGAGGGAGGAAAAGAGAAAAGTGCTTCAAAAAAACTAAGAAATTAAATAAGCTACGGAGTCTCTTAGAAGAGGTACTTTTGGCAAAGATAAGGCAGTGTACTTAAGAAGGAATAGCATGAAGACTGAATTCCTACATGGTGTTCTGAAAGCATAAAGAATCCCCGGTATGAAAATTTTCCATGATTATAGGAAAAACTGTAGAACTATAACTCTGAGGATGTCCAAAAAGTTTCTAAGAAATGGCAACGCAGTAAATAATACAAGCACCAAGGGAGTAGGTTCTTGATAGGAGTTGAGTCTCGTGAAAATTGAGTGGTTGATTGTGCATTTACAATAAAAAAAGTCAAGCCATTATGCCACCCCTTTCTTATAGAGCTACGAATTTTCAGTCAGCTGTATACCTAATAGCACCAGCCAAACATATTTCGTAAGGGCGATAACAGTCTCTGCTTCCAAATGATGTGGTTATACTACATTCTAAGCATGCTAGAATTCCTTCTAAAATAAGGATATTTTCCAAGTGAGGAGCTAAAGTATGCTCCTATGGATGGCATATATCAACATTATCATGTAACCTTTATATCTTAGATTCCTTCCATACTTGTGACTTTTTGGCTTTGCTGGAGATCATACAAGTTACCAGAAAAGTCACTTCCAGTGACAATTTGTTACTGGGATAATGTTTAACCTGCACCCAATGATAACTTTTCCACACCCCACAAACTTACTGCTAAAATTACTATTAAATGCCAAACTATTCTGAAATGACAATAGTGTACCCCAAGCCAAGGATCACATTCTAATCATCTAGTTCTGTCCTTTTTTCCCTCCCCATTGAGATTCCAATTGGTTTTCCTTCTTGGGTCTATTTTATCTTTCTCCTCATCTTAATTTTCTGTCTTTGGGTATTCTGGTATTATTTTCGCATATCTTGAAAATATGACCTTAAAGGAAAGCTTTAAACCACATCACGCAAAAAGTAAAAATACAAATTATTTAAGGTGGATGGATTTTGGATGATTCTTTTTGATGAAGCAATTGTCTTCTTGGTGCCATTTTACCTAGAAACTTCTAAAAGGGAGCTACAACTCAGTCTAGTTCTTTACTTGTTTCTGATAATGACATGCTTCATTCTGCTTTTGTTAAGAGAACTGAATTATTAAACACTGCCTTTCCTATAATTTATCTACATATTAATTTAATAAAGCCAACACATTTAAAGCCTACTTCAGCAAAATATTAGAGAGAGAAATCAAAACGCTTTAAAAATCAGTTCAATTAAAAGTAATGATTGAAAACGTCAAAATCTTTTTATTTGAAAAATGACCTTCACCAAATGTTTCCACTTTTAATGTATGTAAAAGAATTAAAACATTTAATAAAAGTTAACACACATCACCCAAATCAAATAGAATTCATTCAAGTATAATTTTAAAACACACCTTCCTCCAAAATGGATGTTTTAGAGCAGACTGCAAAAGTGAATGAATGGTCTACTGTGTCTTTCAAGCTCGCATCCAACATCTGTTCATTGCAGCTACCACCAGGTTAGCTACAGCAGTAGTTCTCTTCAGTTTGGGAATAAACACGGCCCCACTGTTCTGAGAATCTGTGCTCAGATAAGGCCTTTAAAGGCTATTTGATTTACTCTCCTTATATTCAACAGTGTGGAAACTGAAAGGCTGAGTGTCTGCCTCTCCCATTGCATGCTCTAGATTGTTTTCTCCGTTATTTCTGCTAACATAGTACAATTTTGAGAGTAAAAATCAAGTGATTCCATTTCTTGAATAGCACTGGCTTTGTGACTTTGCCAAGTTAGACTTAAAGGCTGCTTCTCCTCTTCTGTGTACTGAAGAGAATAACATTCTCGCAAAGTTACTTTTGGAATTTTTTGAAGTGCTTTGCCCATTGATTAGAAAATGATAAGCATTTGAAAAAGAGTTGCTTTTGTTTTTACTGTAAACCTGGAAATATGGCTATTTTTACTTTTGGGGAACAGAGCAAACTGAATTCATTAACACAATGGACAGAATCCCATTCTCCAAAGCTTCTGCTGCCTACCACAATCTACAGACGGTAGGAAAATCCACTCAACTATCTTTTATCCCATGCAAAGTATATCCCTTACAGTTAAGAAATGTTAATTGCTGCCAGGTGTTGTAGGATTAACTAGTTAACTAGAAGCTGAAGAGGATTTCTGGCTCCACCCAAAACCTGGAAAACTAATGATGGAAAAACAAGGAGAAGCAAAGGTCAGACACGGGATGGAGCACTGGCACTCATTCTGAGCACACCTAGTTGTGACGTGTAGATGGGTGAAGGAAAACAATATGCTTCCTTTCTGCAGCATAAACAAGGATGCTTTAAACCCCATAATACAAAAATAATGGCTACCTGCGGTGGGGAGCCCTTAGGCTACTCAACACAACAAAAAGAGTCCATTTCCTTTCCCTAGGTAAAAATGCACAGGGGTAACAACTGAGCATCCTTCTCACAAAACTGCAAATTAAGCTGCATCTGAGCTACAACGTGTCTTAGACTCATGTAAGTATATGGGTAAAGTCATATGAAATGGCGACAGAAAACGATGGGGAATATAACCTTCAAATGAACACGGAGGGTAGGAAGCAAATATGCTATGCCAATGGCATCTCCATTGATAAAACCTCAACCCTCCATTCTCATGACACTGCAAACCCACCCTCCTCTAAGGAAATTAACAGGAATCACCGCAGCAACCAACCTCAACAATCGCCATCGACCAGATCGACCCCTACTCAAACGGCACAAAACACCGCGGGTCCAAGCCCCTCCCTGGAGCTGCCAAGTCCCGCGCTGACTCCAGACTACCTCACTTCCTTTCCGACCTCTCTCCCAGGCTCGACCCCCGCTGTTTCTCGCCAACCAACACTCGCCGCTGACAGAGAAACTAAAAGGCAAGAATTATTTCCTAAATTTTGTCTAGGAAAAACCAGGGCCACACATACCCGTCCCTATTACGATCACATCAAAATCCGAAGGGAGATTATCCGCCATCTTGACAGGAAACGTCATGTGACTGTAGTTTGTGGCTCAACATCCTTAAGCAGTCTCTCCGTAGAGGCGGAAGGAAAAACAGTGCCTTCTGGGTAGTGTAGTTCTTTGGTGAAGAGTCCAAGTAGGCGACAAAGGCTTAGTATTTGAAATGTTAATGAGAATGATAAAAGCACTATTCATTTTACAGGCTTCAGCGAAATACCTTATTTATCATGGAGGTTTAATATGGAAAAGAAATGTAAATATTTGAGTCTTCAAACAAGAATGAATGAGGAAAGTCTTGTATACCCCTTAGCAAGCAAAAATTGTTCAGAGACTCTCAGGGAAGAGTGAAATTCAAAGGGGCTCATTCTAAACATAGGAGATTTTCATTCACCCCAGGAAAGCTCGTTCCTCTGGCGTGTCTATATTTGTATTTTTGAAACCTGAGGCATCAACTTTCACTTCATAACAACAGTGTCCAACTATATTCTGTGCCCTTTTCGTCTCTGTGTCTTTCCAGTGAATAAAGAACCAAACAAACAAAATTCCCGTTGCCTAGTTTCCGCAGAATGGAATTCCTCCTGTACTCTCTAGTCAGTCCAAACAGCCACCTAGCAACCAACAGTAATTTCAAAATGAGGCAGGAAAAGGTGAGAAAGAATAATAAAGAATAGTCAATACTGAATAAATCTTTTGTTTCAGAATCTGATTCCCAACCAAAATAAAAAGAACCCATATAACTTTCTTCTATGAAGCTGATTGAGAAATGATTAAAGTAAAATAAACTTTATATAGAAGTGGTCATATTTGAGAAACAAGATTAAGGTTGTCTATACTAAGTAGTTATCAGAGCTCTCCTGAGTATTTTCAAGGTCTGTCTCCTCCCACTCTACATAATTTAAAATGCTTGCCTGTCTGAAAATACTAAAAGAGAAGGGAGGGATGCATTGGATTAAGGAAAGTACGTTTTTATCTCAGGAATGCAAGATGCAGTCGTGTGACAATCCTTTATACTGTGTACTGTCTCAGGTGTGTACGGTCCTCTAGAGTTTGTTTTCTTAGTCTCTATGACCTACTCACATTAGCTTTTCCCTCCACAAGAAAAGATCTTTTCAATGTCCAGTTTACACTTACATTTATTATCTAGGAGGCTTAATATACTTAACCTTATTCAAACATTAACTAATGTTTCAAAACACCACCTGATTCCACATGAATATGCATAAGTTTGTGTACTGTTAAAAAATAATAAAATAAAAGGGAAGCTAGAGATATAGGCTTGATAGTTAAGAGTACTGGCTTAGTATTCTGCTGAAGGACCCAGTTCTAGTCCTGTTATCAACATGGCAACTCACATAACACCTGTAACTCCAGGTCCAAGGAATTATGATGCCCTCTTCCGGCCTACCAGGTACACACAATGCACAGACATGCAGATAGGTAATGTACACAATACATGAACAAACTTTTTAAAGATAATCAAAATAAAAGCAAAAACAACTTTGGAAGCAAAGCAATTAGAACCTTAAGTGATATATTTGAGACAAGGTCCCATTAATGCAGGATAGTTCAGACTAGTATGCTCAGCTATTCAAGTACTGATAATGCAAGTTTACAACCAGCAAGCTATTTTTACAAATACCTTTAAAAAAACTTTTAGGTCAGCTTCTATTTTATCTTGCTTTTATTTCTTCTCAATTTTGTGCTACTTCCTTACAAGGTATTACCAATTTATCATATCCTGTTACATTGCACTAAAATTTCATGGATGTGGCCTCCTATAAGCTACTCATATCCCCACACATACAAACAAAATGCACACCCAGATATACAGTACATATATATATATATATATATAGCCTTGTATGACAGGGATTAAGTCATGTTCCTCAGGACACTGAACCAAAACTTGTTTCAACAGTAGGAATTCAACAACTATTTCCTGAATTTAATCCTGACTTGTTTAGCAGATACTGAGCACTCTAAGACAAAGACTGAGTCATTTTCACATTTATCTCCCTGCAACAGGTAAGTACCTTTACTTTTTAAGACATATCATTCATCTCTTAATTTTAAAAGTTCCATGAGAACTGGTTTAAAGTGGATATTGCTAGATATTTTCTGCATTTTGTTACATTTGGTACAACCATTATCAATATTATAGTTTTCTAAGTTTTATGCATGGATTATATCATTGTAGTATAGTGTTCTCTTATGGTATAATCCACTGAGGAATATGTGTCTCTTGAAAAATAGATTCCTTAAAAATAATGTATTATTCAGTGAATCACTACAACATTTGCCTTGCTATGACAAGAAATTTTTATTTACTATCAGAACTAAAATAAATGTTTTATGTGAGGTGCCTGATATGTCAATGGAAATAAAAATTAAAACAGTCAAAGTAAATACAGGAAACTTCCTAAAACCACTAAAAGATAGAATACAAATAACACCATTGAATTTTCCTTGGGAGATATATGTGTATACGCTCATGTATGCGCATAGTATTTGTACATTATATAGAATTCCTCTAAATATGAGTAATTTTCCATTATTTCAGAAAATTTTCTAACAATCACAGTGTAGTTATAGATGTCATTTACATATTTATTACTTAAAACTGAATCTTCTGAGTTAATGTATTATAGTGTATACATTATAGTGTATGTATTATAAATGCTGAGATAAGAACAAACAATAAGCAAAAAACTCTTGTCTTCAGAAGGTCTGCTGACTTTCCATTCTGTCTTGCCCCATATTTAGTTGTTTTTTACCCTGAAGATAGAAAGTATGGTCTTCATGAAGATAATATTACCAACCAATTTAGTTGCATTTTCCTAATCATATCATGTTTTCATGTATATATATACACAATAAAGATAGCATACATGAAAAAAATCACTGTATTAAAAATATAAACCTTATTAAGAAATAAATGCTTTATTCTTAAAACATTGTTTACATTTTATTTAAATAAATATTACTGAAGTTGACAGGAAATGTCAGGAAATGGCATAGAACAAAACAAATAAATAACTGGCTATTGTTTCAAGGACATGTATTTTTGAGAGCTCAAATATTTTGATAAATCACAGCACAATGAATTACTATCTAAGAAATGAGTGCCTATTAAATCACCATGATTCAAATTTTATATATAAAGTTTTTCTGAGTTGAAAAACAATAATTCCTTACTCTTTTGTGTGTTTAAAAGTATATTCTACTATGAATAGACTATCTTCATATCAGTAATTGAATACCCTTTTCCCTAGGATCTTTCTTCTCAACTCTATTACCACATTTAACTCCTTACTTAGTATCTCTTCTGAGTATATCCAGTACTGAGCTCCAAAATATTCCAACGGCATTTGCAAACTGTCTCGTCATCCTATAATTCCTACTCACTTAAATCAAAACATCAAGAATCATCCTGAGCACATATTTTTCTTCTACTCCTAAACCATATTAAACACTCATGCCAGATTTCTATTTAAAAAATACTGCAAGAGTTAGAGGCATAGTTGACTATACCAGGCATGAGATCCATCTTGTGAACCAGCACGTAAATACAATCAGAAAGAGGTTGGTTACTCCCATAACATTCATGACACCATTGCACCAGTAGCCATATCTTGCCAGAACAGACATTATTGAAGTTAAGAGGTTCACAGCAGGCTTTTTCTGTTTTTTTTTTGTTATTGTTTATTTGTTTTACACAATGTTTTCCTCTGGTAGCATAAATAGAACCCTTTTACACTGTGAAATTTACTCACTAGAAATAAAGCTATTAAATCAGTATAAGCTTCATTTCTTCATGTCCTATAAAAGAAGTATGTGGCATAGGCCTTAGGGGAGAACCCAATATCATTATTCTTCTAAATGTCGTAGTATTAAACTGCCCCTGAAATTCTAAATTGACACATTTCTCAACCGTCATCAGAGAAACTTCTTTTTGTAGTACATAGTGATTAATTCACAGACAAAATTTTTAAATATGGTTTATAAATGTTTGTTTACATTTAAAGGGGGATATGCTATAGAAATGAAAAACTTTCCATTCTTCGTGTATTGATACAACTGGAAGGTCAATTTTATTATATATATATATATATATATATATATATATATATATATATATTTCTGCTCTTGTTTAAGGTATTGTGTTTGTGCAACTCATTTAAAAATGTAATGTATAATTAAGAAATATAAATTAAAAGATAGTCATCCATAATAGTTTAACTATAGTCATGTTAGCTAGGTTTTCTAGATGTATAGAGATATATTTCACATGGATAGATATACTTCAAACATATCAAAGACTTACAGAATGTGGTATTTAAAATGTTTTAAAAACTTAGGACTTTACATGACAATGAGACACATCTGTGTGTTCCTCAAGGACACCCAAAGGGAGCGCCAGCACCTTCAGCTTGCACGGCAGGGTCTCCTGTGTTCTACTAGACCCCGCCCAACCCGGCAAGTTCTCCCTTTTGTCCGCGGGTCATTGGATAATCAGGCGTCCGGGTGCTGAGGAGTTTCATCTGGACTGGAACGGTTCCTGCTTCTACACTGAGGAGATACACCCAGAGAGTCAGTCACAGCAAAGACTGAACCAAGACACCAGGCCTCTCCTGGCCCCATTTGAAGGAAGAGATGTGAAGGCGCCAATGCAAGAATTCCTCCAACAACCTGAAAGGCAACATGACATCACCAGAATCCAGGGATCCCGAAATAAGAAAAATTGTACACCCTACTACAGAAGAATTAGAAGAAATCTACTCAACAGTGAATTATATGAAAATAATAGAGAACCGTAAACAAGAGGTGGAAAACTGCCATAAACAATTAGACATTTCAAACAAAAAGGTAGAGGAAATGAATAAATCGCTCAAAGATACCCAAGAAAACCAAGAGAAACAAGAAAACACAATCAAAAAAGTAAGGGAAGTGGTTCAAACTTGAAGAATGAAATGGAAGTATTGAAGAAAACACAAACCGAGGGAAGGATGGAGAGG